GATGGATGGATGGATGGATGGATGGATGGATGGATGGATGGATGGATACTCATGCAATGTAGCATCTTGCTCCACCTATGGGCAGTCTCAGTAATAGCATCTATGGGTGGTTTTAAGCCTTCCCAAGTGCAGATGCATGGCATAAAGGCCATGCAAGGTTAATTGACTTTTAAAAATGTTTTGATTTTTTGTTACTCTAACTGAATAGCGACAAATCTCTTCTTTAGGTTGTAAATGAAATGCTGGAAAACAGGTGACAGCCTGTGGAAGCATGTAACATAAAAATAATTTATCAGGAGCTGGGTAGAAAATATTTTTCTTAATAAATAATTGTATGCTTCATTTGGTTAACTTGTAATTGATTCGAGATTAAGGGTAAAGACGAAAACGCACATTACGCACATTCCCCACAAGATGTCGCGCGTGTACCTCATCCATCATTCACGCCTAACAAAACGCTCCCAAGTCTCTACATCATCATCTTCTTCTTAATATCTTTATAATGTTATTTTTCCCCCTAAGTCTTTGTGTTTTAAAAAACAAAACAATGTATTCCATGAAATTGTTGAACATTCCTTCATGATGAACTTCTATTGCTCTGAAGAGTCATTTTGGTCCCCGTTCTGTAACAGTATGCTCGGATGGCAGCAGGTCACAGTAAATGCCCCGGACTGGTTTGGTTTGTGTATCTTTGGCGGTGCGACAGCTTCAACCTACATGATCTTGTGTGCCACCTGTATCTTTTCACCGCACAGCCCGACTGAAGCTTTATTTAAAGTAAATCTAGTCAAATCAAACATGTCCAAGTGAATGCATTCCAATGATCTTATTTTGGACAAAATTGCGTTCCTTAAGAAAACGAATGAGAGGGGGGGGGGGGGGGGATCTTTAGATTGGACTAGTTTGTCGGAAGTCTCAATCAAGTTAGTTTAAGACAAAAAAATATTATTTAAAAAAATAATAATCCGCAGCTTACACTTCCAGCCTGCAGTTCAGACATTTCCCCCCTACACAGTACCTGGTGTTTTGTATAACTGTTCCTAAAAGCCGCGTGTTGTTCTAAGCAAATTTCCTCCGACGGCTCGGCCTTTTCATTGGCTGAAACCACAGTCAGATTCCCCCTGCGAAGTTATCAGATTGGAAATCAGGGAGGGGAGAAAGGGACAGGACGACAAGTGCGATGCTTTTACGTGGCTTTGCTTTTCAAACTTTTAGGAAAGGATTTTTTGCGCGACGCGTTCCCGAACAGTGTGCCTCACAAGAGAGAAGAATTTTATTACTAATTGATTCAATATTAGTGTTATTCCGGTTTAATTTGTGCTCATTTCTGTTTCTTCAGTTAACGGTAAGTGAGTTGCAGTTTTTCTTTTCTTTTTATGAAGTATAACTTGATGTCATCTTTGAGACTGAAGCTATTCAACGAATGAATTAACTTTCATGCGTGAAATGCTATTTTAGATAGGCCTTTATTTGGATTAGCCTACACTTTAGATTAGTTTGGTGTTATTTAACTATGCAACGTTGAGGTTTAAACAATTGAGCAATTTATTTAGCTGTATTCAATATTATATAATGACTATAATAAATACTGTGTCAATTTAGTCAAAATGACGCACACCTCAGTAAGTATCTGACTAATTCCCCACCTGTTTTTTCTTGTGAAGGGTTAAAATGCCCCGGTCATTTTTGGTAAAAAACAAAAGGTGTACGTCCTATAATGTCCATCGGTCGTATGAAGAAGAGCCGATCGTCTCCATCTGTGCTGGTAAGGTCTTATCAAGTATGAATTAAACGTTCTTATTTGAAAATTGCTGCAAAATATCAAACTTGCATGATTTGCATTATGTAAATTAAAAGAAAAAGATTATTCTCCTAAAATGAATCCTTGTGACAATGTCTTGTCCTATCCTCTTTAAACTATACATGTTCAGGCTGGTATTGTTTGTTCAGTTCTAATTTGTGTGTGTGAATTTGTGACACTTGCAGCTCAGGCTCAGGCGGACAGGCCTCCGTCAGAGGAGCTGGGCTCCCCTGTAGACCCCTGCTCCCTGAAAGAAGAGGCAGAGCTTCACTGTCCCTTACCTGTCCACCCAGAGCCAACTGCATCTCCTGTGGCTCCCACACAGCCATACTACCTAACTGGTGAGTTTAGAAACAAGCCATCTGGATACGAGAAACTTTTAGAAATCTTGAATCAAGCGTCTTTTTTATTTATATTTGTATATGAGTTTGTGACTTTCCTTTTTTTTTTCATTATCTGAACCTACCCAGAACCTCACGTGGCTGAGTTCCCACCTTATTACAAGCCAACATTTGGCTGGGAGTCGGTGTCCTCCGCCTATGAGCTCCGTCAGTTGAGCTTCAGCCCCACAGTGCTGCAGCATGCCAGCAGTCTGTACGGCTCGCACATCAGCCGCAGCCCACAGCCGCAACAGCCTCTGGACTGCAGTACACACTACTCCCCCTCCTCTAACACCTACCACTGCATCACCTGTGACAAGGTAGGCTCCGAGAGGGCTTATGAAATCTAGCTTAAAAGCCCAGCTCTTTTTTGTGCAGAATTCATCTGCCACTTTTAATTTTTCTTCAATATAGCAAGAAAAAACATGCAATAACATATTAAAAACTGTTTAAACATAAAAAAGGAAATACAGCACATGAGACAATAAACAATTCTGAGCTTGAAAATCATAGTCCATACCATGGAGCCATTGTTAAAGTGTGAACTATAGATAAGGTTTCTTGTAATTTCTTTAAGTAGTCTTCCGGAATAGTTCTCTAGGACATCTCACAGGTTTTTTTTTTTTGTTCAGTTTTTCTGACACCCCAGGTGTTTTGTTTCCCTTTCGGAGCAACGGCTTCTTGCTTTGCTGGTCAACTCCCAGTAATGTGCTGACTCCATTTCAGGTGTTTTCGACTCCTCATGGATTGGAGGTTCACGTCAGGAGATCTCACAGTGGCATGAGACCTTTCGGCTGCAGCATCTGCAGAAAAACCTTTGGTCACGCAGTCAGCTTAGAGCAGCACATGAATGTCCACTCTCAGGTATGACAGTCACCTCAAACTAAAGCAGATATTATTATTTAAGGACTTCCAGTGGTTTCAAATTTCACCATTTACTGAGCTATGGACACATCTGAAATTTTGTACAGAACTTCGATTCCACAAATACCAGAAAATGTTTTTGAAAAATAGGAAAAAAGGATACTCGATCACCCTAAATTTGATCAAATAACTGAAAAGAAGCAGAGGAGTCATTTAACTGCCTGAAAAGACCTCAATTGTTAGCCATTTTCTTAAAACCTTTTTAAGATTTTGCTTTTCCTCATTTAGGAAAAAAGTTTTGAATGCAAGATGTGTGGGAAATCCTTTAAGCGCTCCTCCACGCTCTCCACACACCTACTCATCCACTCCGACACAAGGCCCTACCCCTGCCAATTCTGCGGGAAGAGGTTCCACCAGAAGTCTGACATGAAGAAGCACACGTACATTCACACAGGTAATTCTCCAAAAGATTTGCAGCGGGTGGCCATATTCACTTGAAGCTGCTCATGGCTCGCTTTTACTATTGTTGCCTACTTTCTTAGGTGAAGCATGCTGGAATTGTTTCCATGAGTAATATAACTGCTGATAAATCAGAAACAGGAGCTTAGGCAAATATCCTGATGATTTGCATATCTGGTTTTCCTGCCTCACACAGACCTCTGTAAAAGGAAGTTCATGTAGCTCACATTTGTTGCCAACATATGGTTGACAAATCTGAACAACAGCACAATTCTTCGGTGTGGGACGCTAATACAAACTTTATCTTTGCCGCAAAGACACCTGCCACTGTATTTAGCGATGGCGAATTTGAGCTAGCAGACATAGCTAAAATAATCCCCTACAAACAAATCCCTTGAAATCTAAGCAAGATACATATAAAGTTGAGTTTTTTTCCCTCCCTGATTTATCTGCTTATTTTGTAGGTGAAAAGCCCCACAAATGCCAAGTGTGCGGGAAAGCATTCAGCCAAAGTTCCAACCTGATCACCCATAGCAGGAAGCACACAGGCTTCAAGCCATTTGGGTGCGACATTTGCTCAAAGGGCTTCCAACGAAAGGTGGATCTTCGCAGGCACCATGAGAGCCAGCACGGCATGAAATGACTCGGCGACGAGAGCAAAGCCCCTTGTACATATCAGACATCTATTAAAACAATAATGTGAACTTGATATATATTATAAATACCTGTTGTATTTTATTCTTGTCACAGATACAGGATGGCTGTAAAGAAGCTGTGAGTATTTCAGGGAGTTTAACTTGAGAAAATGTGTAATTTATTGGAATACTTTTTTTTTCTTTAGATTTAAGGATGAAGGGTTGATGTTATGATTCTATGTTAATTCAAAGAGTGAATAGTTTTGTTCTGTATATTTAAGATATGCTTTTTTGGTGTAAGATTAAATAATACATTCTGAAACAAAACTGCTCTGAACAGTTTTTTCCTTTTAGCAAAGTAAGATACATTATACAGTGCGGCTTAACTCAGAAAGTAAAATACACACATAGTATTTGCCAAAGATGAGCAACGCTAACACCTTTTCTCAACACTCTCTCGTAAGAGCTGTTTGTTGAGATACTTCAAAACTTCTGTGTAAATCTGCCACATAATGTGAACTGCTGCATCAAAAAAAAAAAGAAAGGAAAAAAGTTCTGTTCCATATTCAAATGGCCTGGAACGGCATGCAAATCAAGTCATGAGAGTAGACTAGAAAGCAGAAGGAAGCTCAGCCGTGAGATCCGGCGGGTCATTCCGAATGGTGTTCTTCAACTGTTGCCACAGAGACGACAGCAGCAACATAATCTCAGAAAAAGAAAATCACAATTGCACACAAACTCACGTCTTGACCATGCTGAGCTTTGGCTACACACCCTTTAACACATCCAGCTGCATGGTCATTTAAGTGCACTGAGTTTAGTGGGATACAGGGATTAATGATAGGTGCGTGAGCCGAAAGGGATTGATTACTTAGTTAACTGTCACCACACCCTTTCAGTCTTTTGGATTTAGTTACAACAAACAAACGGAGTCTCACCACCTTCCTCAAACATCAAACCTGTTAGCAAGTAAGCTGCTCAAGGCAAATCACATCAACATGTGAGCTCTTAAAAATCTGATATGTACCATCATGAGAATAATCGGAATTTAGGGAAGCAATTTCAGATCTTTGGATCCGAGCTATCAACATACAATTACTTCTATAATTCTCCAGAGTCACTAGATTTCTAGAATCTTCAATCACAGGATTAAATACTTGGTCTTCAGGTTTTTTTAACTTGTGTCTGAAGTTGAAGAAATATGTTATGCTCTCTGGATAATTTGCATAAAAATGGCTATCTGCCGATGATACGTTTTGAATAAATTCATATAGCAAACGTAAACTGATAAAGGTTGTACAGCCCTCCCACCTAAACTAGTCCATGTATAGTTGTAATTGTGGCTTTTGTTCATCATTGTGATACTGTTAATTATCATTGTTATTTTGACTAAGACATACATAATTCAGAGCCAAATATTGGGTAAATCTTGCTTTATCAAAAGATGGTACAAAGCCATCCTTTCGACCACGGTGTGGAAATCAAAGTCTATAAGGGAAAAAGGGTAGATGTGAGGGCTTACTGTCTACCAAACAAATCTGAGGTCTCTATGCAAAATGAGTTGGCAAACAGGCAACAGTGCCAGACGTGAGCCTCCACAACAGTTAGACGTACTGCTGCTGCGGCTGCTGCTGCTGAATCATGTGTGACATAGACCAAATCAAAATCCTGCACAGGTAACCAACTGAACAAGATGCAGAGGATCATCTTGGGTGGGACTAAGCAAACAGGACATGAGTCCTGAAAGAGGAGGGGCGTCGTCACCTGGGGTTGCCTGGGGAAAAACGGGAAAAACTGAAGGAAGTACAGAGAACTTGCCTTCATTCGTCATGGCTAAATGGTATTCTTTTCTTTTTTGTGGTTACGTGTTGCCTCGGGCAATGTTGTTTCTTAAAAGTTTGTAGCTTTCTTATCTTGGTGAGGGAACCGTCTGAAAAGTTTTTTCATAACCTAAAAAAAGTCCAAAGCAAAAATGATTTACTTGATTTGTTCATCCAGCAGACCAAATACATCGTTCTACATCTGACAGAAATACAAACCAGGTAAAGAGATAAAGTATGGGGCTGGATTTGTCTTGCAAATGTATGCAAATGAACCCTGGACGGTACTTTGGAAACACTGTAGGATGTGGGGATCTGCAAAACTGCCAAAGGCATCAATGATGCATTCATGGAAGACAAAATGGGAGATCCCCAACAAGAAAAGTCTGCGTTCTTAGTGAGATCAAAGGTGTGTCATGGGAATCTGTACCACTATTTACTGTTTCAAGATAATAATCAGGCACGCCTTTTTCATCATACGTTCTATTTCTACCTGGCTTGATTATGAACAGAATATGTACTGGATGTGATAAAATAGGTCTCTTGAATCAAAAAAGTATTTTTCATTTTGTTTAATGCTGTGCAACCACTTAAACTAATACCAATGCAAAACATCAACACTTTTAACAGAAAACAAAATCTAAAAAAAAGAGTATCATTAGAACTGCACATAAAAAGTGCATAGGTGCTAAAAATGAGAAACAATACAGAATATCTTGTAAACTTGCATAAATGGATTAATATATAGGCCCTTAAAATTTTTATGGCAAACCAAAAAGCAAAAATAACTTCATAGAAGCGGTAGTGCAGAGTGACATGCCGGCAACCCATCAATGTCATAACAACCCAAAAAAGTAACTGTCGGTAGATTTCCTCTGTATGACTGGCCACAGGAAGACTTAGCGTGATCACAGCCATTGCTGACACGCAGTACGAGGGTGTGATACAACTTGATTGCCAAGCGACACAGCGTCGTGGTGCTGCTTTACTACAGATAAAAGCAGCAGTGACGGATGACTGATGTGGACAAATGGTCACGCCTCCACAATGTCACACAGCAGTAAAAAAAAAAAAACATCAAACAACAAAAACAAACAGCGTCAGCTTATCCAGTGGTTGTGTATTCTTGCTCCCACAGATCTATTTTCATGTTCCTTCCGTAAAGTTATATCCAGCTATTGATTTGCATGAATTGCTCAGATGCTCCGATGAATACATTCCGTTTTCTTAAAAATGCAATGCTTGTCTGTTAGAATCATGGAAATATTGATGCTGCCAGAACAAAGTAACTCAAAGGGGATTTTATCACATGATGTGTAAAGTCAGTTTAGGATATTTGTCAAATCTTAAATGAAACCAATAAGGAAACCCATACCCCATGATACTTCTCTACCAATGAGAAAAGTTAACTTTGACTTATAGTTCAACACTAAAGTTGTGACAGCTCTTGACCCTCTCAGATGCTTCATTTTATAAATAGTTGAGTGGAGGCAAGCGATGCAGGTGAATAGCATTGTTACTTGCAGCAGCATCAATCTTTGGTTCCTTTTAAACCATAGAATCTGAGTTTAAGACTTGAAGGTGGTTTTCATGGAACTGGACATGCAACACTTGGACAGAACACACACCCGCATCCCAGACTACCAGACCCTGAAATAATTCCCAGCTTTGTGGTGATGATTTTTTTTATCTGCAGCATCAAGTGATGATTACAATCATCATTTAGGTTCAGTGAAGCTACCTGACTCGAAAATGCATGTAACTAGGCTAACGAAGTCCACACTTACTGGGATTTTTAAAACTAAGTTTGTGGTGCTGAAAGTGATTTATGATGATTTTGGCTGGTCATTGCACATAAATATATATTGACAGGTCTGTGCAATGTAATTTAATAAAGCGTTTGCAATAAGGGGGAACAAGGCCGTGCCAAACCAGGTTTATTTGAAAGATGTAAGAACATAAACAGGTGGAGTGGTGTCAGCCATCAAAACAAGTGGATAGGCTCAACAAATCCACCTATTCACGAGCTGAAGAAGATTTGGGATCCAGGTCGAATAAAGGATAGACTACGTGGGCCAAAATGAATTCCAAAAACAACAAAGAGCATGCTAACAACCAAAAGTCTGATTCAGGGTCATGTGACGTTCTCTATTTAAAAAGTACAATATAGGCAATTAATAGTGCTTTTCATAAGAAAAAAACCTAAAAGCTTAAATAACTCATCAATTAATGAAATTGAAATTAAATGAAAAGTTAAGGGTGCAAAAAAAAGCCTTCAGTTGTCATCAACAGTGCTAAATAGAATTGATTTCAGCCTGGATTAAGACATTGGCAGAGTTGGGGTCTGTGTCACTTCCTCAGGAAAACTGTTTCAGATTTAAAGAGCATAACACTGAGACGCAGCCTCTCTTTCTGTGGACCGACTCTGGGCACCAGAAGGAGACCAAGACCTGAGGCTCTCAGAGTTCAAGCATGGTTTACCAGGCTCTAACATGTCAGAGATGTAGTTTGGCACAAGGATATGAAGAGACTTGCAAGAGACTGTTTTAAAGTCTGTTCTCTGATGGACAGGAAGAAAGTTCAGAGACTGGACGAATACGATTGTATTTCCTGGTGCAGCCTATCCCATAGCGGCTGCATTAAACAAGACAGATGTGTTGTGGAATTGCTTCTCCTATATTAGCAAAGCTTTTAGGTTCTGTTTTTTACACATATATAAATATATATTATACTGGTTTACTTTGTTCTAGTGCCTTTTTCAGTTTCCTATGTTTTCCTTTGGCACCTTTGAGCTCCTCTTTCATTAGGGGTCTTCCCTCAATCAGCTCAACATTCCTCACCTGTCTCAAGGTCCCTCAGCTGCCTTTTTCCCAGTAGTCCCTCTCCTCTCTATATATGCCCCCCCCGGTTATTTATTCCTTGCCAAAACCTTGCAGTATGATACTGCCTTGGAGAGTGTTTTGCCTTAATTTTCCTCCAGTTTATCCACCTCTCTTTCCAGGTTGGCTTTTTTTGGTAAAAATCTTTCTCGTTAGCTTCTCAGATTTTGTTTTTTGCTTTTGTAGTTTTTGTGTATGGCTCTGCCACACCTTTTGTTGGTTTTCATAGCAAGTCGGAGTTGTATTAGAGCTCTGTGGTTCCTCTGTTTTTCTTCTCTTGTCCGCATCTGGGCAGGATCTTTAAGGGCTTTAAAGTGTCAGAACTTAAAGGTCATATTTTTGCTTACTGCAGATGATGTGGTTGTGTACACATAGTAGTGGGTCACAGCTCAGAAAGAAGCAGCCAGTTAAACAACCAGTTCAACCATCTTGGGATCGTGTTATGTGTGATGGTGGGAGCTGGACAACCAGATTGCTAGCAGTAATAAGGGTTTGGTCTGTTGAAGTAAAAATGGAGAAGACCTGGCAGAGAACACTTTTGATTCGTTGGTCTTTCTATCTTCCTTACCCTCTTCTATGGTCATGAGATCTGGGTAGTGGTCAAAAGAATGAAGTCAAAGATGTTAAAAGTTGAAATTGGCTATCATCAGTGTGGCTGAGCTGAACGGTAATTTTTAATTTTTTAATGTTTTCGTATCTGAAGAACCCTTGTCGTAAATCCTAGTGAAATTAACATTGACTGATATTGTCAAATAAGAAAAAAATGAACGTGATTCAGTAGCAAACAATTACAGAAAAAGTTCAAATATATCTTACATTTTATACATGTCTGTACAAACATCTGAATGGTGAACATGAACCTTTATGGTTGAGGTATTTCAGTATTGAGAATTCAATAATTTGCTGTTTTAGAATTGACAGCTGTGATTTCTGACCTTGTTATGGATGTGTTAGTTAAGTTTAGATAGAAGGAAGCTGAATGTGAACTTACTACTCATGCTGTCTTGACACCGAAAAACCTTTCTTATTGGTATTGAGATTTAATGATCTGTTTATCTATAAGAACGCATGCTTGGTAAAAGAGGAATACAATAACAACATTTTTATCAGATAAGATTTTGACATGCATTAAGCTTTTTTTAGTCCAAAATTTAAATGCTTTTTTTCTCTAAAATGTTAATGTATTTTTAACCAAAGTCTAAGCTACTGCCAAAGGTAACTGGAGAGCAATGCTGAAGAGATGGCACCCCTTTCCAAGCATGTAAGATGGGTCAGATACACTGCTGAACCCACAATAAAGGCACTTTTAGGGGGATTTAGAGCAAAACTATTAGGGTAGTTGATTTCAACATTTTAGATATTCAAGTAACTTTAATGTTGTTGCTCTGGCAGTTGTGTTTTAGCAGAAATAAACATCAAAACCACCAGTTTAATATGTGAGAACGCAGTGACAGAGATCACTGATAATATCACACAATTTGACTGCTGAAATTGAATAGGCTCTGTTGTGCCTCACATTTCACCTCACACATCCAAATATGACCGCGCATTCAGATTTCCTTTTCTACTGATAAACAGACAGCTGCCAAGAGGAGTTGTCAGGAAAGGGGATATGATGAGTAAAATGTCTAAATAAGTGGGAGAGAGAGAGAGAGATGGGGGGGGGGGGTGTCTTGAAATCTTTGAGCAGCAGGCTGTCCCAGAGTGAGCTGAGCAGTGGAGGCGGCATGATAACCTTATCAGGGTCTCCCCACACTGTAACGGCTGGAACACGCCGGCAGTGAGACAGGGAGGAGAGGACAGGCCCTCAGCTGAGATAGCAGAAAGAGCTAGGGAAATGTCCAATAGAGGTGGGCCACAAGAAGAAAAAAAAAAGAAAGAAAGATCGACAAAATCTTCGCAACACACAACAGATTGTGTCGTCTATATCCCTCCTACCAAACGAGTTCCAATGTTTTTGTTTGGACTTTGTTGCAAATTACAGTGCGTTTACTCACCACAAATCTGAACTTATTTTGTGGGAAAAGCTGAAATTATCTAGAAATATCAATGTAGTAAAGCATCCAAAAGGCTTATTCTTGCAGGTTCCTCTGCATCAACAAAACGTAATGTCTATAGTTAAAGACAAGTACATTGTTCACTCAGCCTTCTTCATCCAAGACAAACTGAACATTCACCCAGAACACCCATCCAGCATCCAGCCACCAAAACTGTATCATGTGATGACCTGCAGTAATATGTCTAACTGCCACAGCTGCTTTGTATGAGCATCCCTTATCTGCAGCCATTTGTATTTTCACATAGATGCATGAAATACAGTTTCATACAAGTTCCAGAAACTTGTCATACATTGTTTTCTCATTTGAAGAGTTTGATTAAAACTATATAAAACAACTAAAGATAGGATGGCTAAATGATCCTCGCTGAAAAAAAAAAGAGAGAAAAAAAGAATGCCTTACAAAAACATGAAAAGAAGACTAACTTGAATGAAAGCAAACAGTGTCACATCAGATAGTTATACAACATCTTAAATAGCTCTGTAATCCTGCAAAGAGTCGTCTTTCTTTCCCGAGGGGATAATAAACTGTTTACTGTTCCAGGGTGGGACAGCACACACATTTTTTTTTAACCCAGTCCCCTCTAACTACCCTGGATTTACCAGATTGTTAAAAAATGACTTTTACCTGGGGCTAAATATTAATATAGCATACGCTCATCGTTAAAGTGCAGAGCGACTGGGTAATGTTTGGGTAAACACTGCCATCCTATGGACAAAAAGTTACATAGAACAAAAAATCATTTATCAGGGTAAAGCTTGATGTTGAAAAAAAGAAAGAATATTAAATACAATGTTAACTTTTGGACATTTGAAAAAGCAGTATATTAATACATAGATACATAGGGACACCGGGGTCAATAGACTTATTAAAAAAAAAGGAAAATTATGTTTGACATTTTATTGCAGTTTATCAGGTGTCTTTGATTTTATACGAATGCTAATTCCAGGCATCCATTGGTAACGAAACGATTTTTATTTATTTATTCATTTATTTTATGAAAGGCGCACGGAACAATATACGCGAACTATTGTTTACGCCCGGAGTCGTTTTGCATTTGGACAGATCCATACCGCGGGACTTCCGACTGTCATGACAGTTGACTTGCACATCTCGAACATTTAAATGTTGGGTGTAAAATTGTTTTTTGATAATGGAGACTGAAGAAACGAGTGTTGCGGATACCAGCGAGGTGAGGCTGAATTTTACTTTGAGAGAACTGAGCCTCTCGTCTCAGACTGAAGACGCTACACCGGGAAGCTCGTCCACAGTAGAGCTACCGGACAGGAAACTGGTGTGTGTGGAGTATCCTGCGATGGTAAACAGCGTGGATAAAATGTTGGAGACTCTGGGTGGTGAGCAAACGATGGCCAAAGTAAGCACAGCCGGGAAACACTCTTTTGGCTTTTTTTCGTCTCAATCTTGCATGTTGATTACGCAACAGATTACACGATTTAATATTTTTTGTGTGTTTGTGTTGTAAAAACATATAACATATAAACACAAAATTAATGTAAATAATTTGGCAAAATCTTCTGGTACAACCGATCAGTTTAGAACTACATAGTTCATTATTCATGTGTACATATTAAATATAGTGGAAAGATATTTCAGAATGCCTTCATTTAAAAAGAGATAAAATAAGGATTGTATGGCTATTCCTTTAACCATTCAAAGCTATAATTTGAGACTATGAACGTTACATTAAAAAAAAAAGTTAAGTGTTACAACACAACTGTATCACAAATAAATTTAAAAAGAAGGCTCCAAATAACCTCTATTAGGTCAACCACAGGAAACTGAACACTTGCTATTTTTCTTTTTGTCTATCCACTTTTCATATTGACAATTTAAACCATTGTTTTTAGAATTGTGTGTCGGTTATGTTCTGTAAGGGTATATTCTCTCATTGCTGATTGTGAAATAAAAGTCGCTTCATGGCTGGTTGTATTTCCTGTTGATCCTGCAGACATTTGCTGACCCCAACAGACGTCTTGAGCTGCGTTTCCGACCCCAGGACCCTTTCTGCCACTCTGCGTGTGGGAACCGTCTCCCATCAAGCAACCTCCTCCTCAGAGTGCGACGGCGTGTGCGCAAAAAAGACCCAAAGGATGCAGAGATTCAGATGGATATCATGGGATTCATAGGAACAACCTACAAATTCCAAGGTTAGATGGAAAGTCATTTTCTCTGATTTGAGCCATTTTGCAATTGTGGAACCTTTTTTCTTCATACCAGCTCAGGTTTTCCCATTGTCTTCCTGTTTTCTTCACTTATATCTTGACAGGTTGTTGCAATTTCTGTGGCTATCTATGTTTGTTGGATTTATTGTTGATTAGGCAATTAGAAGTTACTCATAGCATCAGTTGGGGTTAAATAATTTGTTGCCATCTTAATGATAATCGCCCATACAGAAATTACCCAATAGGGGCCCATACACACATAGTTATATCAAGGGGTTTATTTTCTTTCACGGCCAGGCTGTGTAATTTTTTCCCAATAGAACATAAAATCACCCTGGAAATGAGACCTGAGACCTCTTCAAGTGGAAGAAATGATAAGGAAGTGGAGACAATTATTTCCAAAAGGGATTACATTATTATTTGTCTAACTTGAGGCACATCCTTGTCACCAAAAATGTGCGAATATTTTTCATGATATGGTAACATGTTTCTAGATTTGATAGTTTTTTATGATCTCTACTGGAAATTAGACTGACGACTGATGGGGGGGGGGGGGGGGGAAAAAAAAAGATGGCTTCTCTCACAACATGTATTTTGAAAATGTCTTTTGCAGGGCTGGCAGACTTTCAGTACCTTGCTATGCATTCAGAGGGCGGAAAAGTCACATCTCTTTATGACAAAATCATCCTCCGCAAAACTGAGAGTCAGGAGTTCTTTGAGCAGACTGTGCCTCACTTCCTCCCCCCAGCCATCTTCTCACGCCTAGACAGTCCTGTGGACTATTTCTACAGGCCTGACACCCAGGCCAAGGCAGCAGCTGTGTAGGTCCACTTCGCAACTTCTGCTACCACCCTACACAGTAATATTAAAAAGCAAAGGTATGTTACTATTATCAGATTAATATTTCTACTTGTTTCTGTTTGTAGCCAGGTGCCAACGAGCAAGAACTTTATCGGTCTGAATCGAGCGCGTCGACCCCACAACGCTATATTTGTCACCTTTAATGAACCCTCTGTGCCTACTGAATGCCTCCAGGCTGCAAAGGATAACTGGGCCAGATACTGTCTGAAAGAAAGAGACAGGGACGCTGAAGAGAAGTTGAAAAAGGTATTTGTGCAGCTGCGGCCTGCCTATTTTAAGCACAGCAAACCCTTGGGTTGCCAGGATCATGAATGGAATGTTACTCAATTAACTCAAATCCATCTATTTTTAACAAGCATGGTTATCTTCTGCTATGGGTAAACAGAAAGTTATCATAAAGTTATCATTCGTATATATTCTCACACCAAACTTTTTTGTGCTTAGATGTTTGAGAGCCGGCCCATCTGGTCACGGAACGCAGTCAAAGCCAACATCAACATTCACCCTGATAAACTGAAGCTGCTGCTGGCCTTACATGCCTATTACATGGTGAGCTGGGAGGTCACGGTTAAGCACTCACAACACACGTGTTTGTTTGTTTTGGGGTTAAAATTCAAATAGTTTGTGAACGTTGAGTGACGTGGTAATTTCCACATCTGGACAGTTCAGGTCACAAAATGGAAATTTCACTAGAAAAAAGGTCAATATATTTGTAAATTAGTGTGACGCTTATAACATTTTATTATGAAGTGCCCAAGAAATACAAATGCAGGAGCCCTTTTTTTCTAAGCTCACAATTTCCTTCTTCACTAGAACCTACTGTACATGAAAAATGTGAGCACATCTTGTAATCCTCTGACCATGAACAATAGATATGGTGTGATTAAGTCTTGGTGAAATAAATAAAAAAGCAATGAAAACAATCAGAAAAGAGACCAGTTTCACGAAGACGATTTTAGCATTTGTGTTTCAGATTTTTATTTTTCTTAGCAGATGTTTAATGCACTATCTATCTTTTGGCGGCACATTAAACTGCAAATCGGCTGATGTTTTTCTTTGCTCTGAGCACATCTTTTGCTCTGGTTATAAAAAATTTCAGAGTTTAAATACTCTCTTGTGTCACCGTTCATAATTCGAATGTAGGATATACCTTTTGTAGGTCACAGGACCGTGGAGAAGTCTGTGGGTGAGGCTGGGCTACGACCCCCGAAAGAGCCCAGAGTCCAAGAAATATCAGATGCTGGATTTCAGGATGCGCTATAGCACCAAGCATGGTAGAAACTAGAGATAACTTTTTCTTGAAATGCATCCAAAGCGCATGTCATTACTTTCCAGGAAAAAACGTTGCATTTATGCTGATGACGGCTTGTTTTGTCTGTTTGTCTGTTTTTTTTAGGCTATTCGCTGTCCAATCTACCAGTAAAAGCGAAGAGAAGTGCCCTCAATTACAGTCTGCCGATCACTTTAAACAAAGCAGGTAAACATTTTCACATGGGGTTATGCAGGTATTCTGTGCAATGGAAATATCCATGTGTGGTAACAACAGAAGTACATGGCCCCGTTACAAAATCTATCGTAGTATGTCATGAAATGCATACAATTACGCAGTTATGTAGGGAAGTAGTTCCAGGTCTGTTTGAGCTCCATTTCATATGATTTTAATCAGGCTTATTCTGTCAAATGATCATGAAAAATTCTTTGTGAGCTAATGGCAACCCTAAAACTCATCGAGCAAAAGTTGCAAAATGTCACGTAAACCAAAAGCGAGCCTCCGCATTCTATGCCGGAGTCTTTGCAACATCAGACCTGATTAAACCAAGTTTAATTTGAAGGCTGAGTACAACTTTACTCACTGTTCTGCAGCTCTGCCAAGTTACACTAACAACGATGTGTATTTTTCCTTTCTCTCAGGTCCCCAGCCTACTAGTGTGATGGACATTCCCGCTCAGGAGGGGCCGAGCACCAGCAGAGACTCCGCTATAGCCACATACCAGCTTAAGGTTTGGGTGGAAAAAAACATGAAACACTCCTTTTTTATCCATAGGAGTGAATCGAATGAGTCTTAGTGGTGACATGACATTAATCTGTTTAGTCTAAACTCTTCTCATCTCCATAAGCGTTAATTTACCATACTGTGTGGTAAAAGAAATTGCTGTTGAAAGCAGGCGCCGACTACATCGTCTCCTCCACAGGAGTCATCCTACATATTCAGAGATGGCATGCTGCCTCCTCACAGACAGATGTTCTACCAGCTGTGTGACTTGGATGTGGACAGGTACCATGTTGAGCAGACATTGCATCTATTGAACCTAGCTATCTTTCATCTTCACGTTCATCAAACCGATGATGGCAATGCCCGGAGGAGCTGTCAGAAATCTCCTGAAGCCGTATGACCTAAAAACCGGTCACTGTGTGTCTCAGCATCAAAGAGGTGATCGAACAGAACAGCGGGAAAGAGGAGACATGTGACGAACGTGACGGCTGGTGTGTTGTGGGCACCACAGACAAGCTGAGGGATCTGATCTCTGCCATGATTAAGAAGGTCACACGAGCACAAAAACAGGGTATGTAATAGCCTGGACTGTTCTATAGTCATTCAACTTTCTTTCTATTCAGAAGCTCCAAGTGATTCGAAGCTAACTCTGACACTTATGTTACGATCTGCACCAGGCTTTAAATGTTAACCAGGTCCCTTTGCAGCTGGATGCGTTCAGCCCAAATATTTGTGACCAATTTGACTGGATGCTGACTACGTCTGCGCCTGCACATTTTGCTGACTATGCAAAAAGAGACTAAGAAACAAACACCTTTGCAAAATTAGATTTAGCACGCCATCTCTTTTTTTCCTCAGTTCCCGAAGTCTCCCAGAAAAAACGACGCAGGTCCTGTAGATCAAAATCCTCAGTGAGAAATACGGATCCAGATTCAGAGGATGAGAACTGTGAGAACAAGGAGGATGATGAGGAGGATGAAGATGATGAATTCCAACCATCTGAAGGAAGTGAAAATGAGATGGAGACAGAAATTTTGGACTACATGTAACTGGAGAATCATTTGAGAATCCTCGCCTGTGTTTTGTGTCTGTCAGATGTTAACATTTAAATTAAAATAAAAAAATCTACAAAATGTACATGGACATTTTTTATTGTTTGTCTTTTTTATGGACTTCATAATGTCCACCCAAGAGAACTGAAATTAATCAGAGGCAAGTTAATGTTTCTTTCAGGTCAAATGACAGACTAGAAATACAGGGGTTGGACAATGAAACTGAAACACCTCTCATTTTAGTGTGGGAGGTTTTATGGTTAAATTGGACCAGCCTGGTGGCCAATCTTCATTAATTGCACATTGAACCAATAAGAGCAGACTCTGAAGGTCCATTTAGCATGGTAAGAGCACAGTTTTGCTCAAAATATAGCAATACACACAACATTATGGCTGACATAACAGAGTTCAAAAGAGGACCAATTGTTGGTGCTCGTCTTGCTGGCGCATCTGTGACCAAGACAGCAAGTCTTTGTGATGTATCAAGAGCCACGGTATCCAGGGTAATGTCAGCAGACCACCAAGAAGGACGAACCACATCAAACATGATTAACGGTGGATGCAAGAGGAAGCTGTATGAAAGGGATGTTCGGGTGCTAACCCGGATTCTATCCAAAAAACATAAAACCACGGCTGCCCAAATCACGGCAGAATTAAATGTGCACCTCAACTCTCCTGTTTCCACCAAAACTGTCCGTCGGGAGCTCCACAGGGTCAATATACACGGCCGGGCTGCTATAGCCAAACCTTTGGTCACTCGTGCCAATGCCAAACGTCGGTTTCAGTGGTGCAAGGAGCGCAAATCTTGGGATGTGGACAGTGTGAAACATGTATTGTTCTCTGATGAGTCGACCTTTGCTGTTTTCCCCACATCCGGGAGAGTTACGGTGTGGAGAAGCCCCAAAGAAGCGCACCACCCAGACTGGTGCATGCCCGGAGTGAAGCACGGGGGTGGATCAGTGATGGTTTGGGCTGCCATATCATGGCATTCCCTTGGCCCCATACTTGTGCAAGATGGGCACGTCACTGCAAAGGACTACCAAACCATTCTGGAGGACCATGTGCATCCAATGGTTCAAACATTGTATCCTGAAGGAGGTGCCGTGTATCAGGATGACAATGCACCAATACACACAGCAAGACAGGTGAAAGATTGGTTTTATGAACATGAAAGTGAAGTTGAACATCTCCCATGGCCTGCACAGTCACCAGATCTAAATATTATTGAGCCACTTTGGGGTGTTTTGGAGGAGCGAGTCAGGAAACATTTTCCTCCACCAGCATCACGTCGTGACCTGGCTACTATCCTGCAAGAAGAATGGCTTAAAATCCCTCTGACCACTGTGCAGGACTTGTATATGTCATTCCCAAGACTAATTGACGCTGCATTGGCCGCAAAAGGAGGCCCTACACCATACTATCAAAGTATTGTGGTCTAAAACCAGGTGTTTCAGTTTCATTGTCCAACCCCTGTACAATAACATAACAGTTATATGTATGTATTGGAAGTCGACTGAGCTGTGTGAGTTTGAGCCTTGCTGGACAGCTGTGTAAACTAAGTTAACTAGAGGTTGGTTTATATATATTAACCAACACAAGTTGGATAACTTAAAATAAAAAACCTCTGGAAGTTTTGTCGAAGGCACAGGCCACTTTATAAAGATGAGATGTATGGGTCTTCTTTTACAGAAGAAAAAAAATGATTCAGGTAGTCTTGATGTGGAAATAATCAAGTCCCTTAAACTTTATCGCACCGGCCAGTATCTGCAAGCATACCACAATGTTTATATTTGGTTCACAACTGATAAGTGGCACTGTTTGTCCTTCTTCAACTTAAAACAGTTCAAAAACTTCAGAATGAATATGCGCTGAGATAACGAGGAAAGCATTGGTTGGTTAATCATTTGTAACACGGAGATTGTTGGGGTGGGTTCCACTTTATAAAGGTTTTGACTACCGGTCAGTGTTGTTCACACAGTTTGATACCGATGGCTCTGCTTGGGATTTTGATTTCCATCGCCCTGTCTGTGGAAACGGTCCACGCCACCTCCGTAAGTGTCTCACCAATAACAATCTTTGCCTCGTCTAGAAATATTTGTCTAAAAAACTATAATTCAGCTACTATCCGCTATGGAATATCATTACCTTCCCTTCCTCTTGTCTTAGGGTTGGCACCAACCATTTTTTTAAGGTTTACCACAAGAGGAACACAAGAGGTTAACTCTAGAGGATGGTTAATTGAAACATTTGGCACTTTGTCGGGCTGGCACAGGGTAGCACTGTTGCCTCGCAGTAAGAGTGTTCCCGGTAGGAATCTCCCCGGGTCTGTTGATGCGTGGTTTGCATGTTCGCCTCTGTGAGGCCGTGTGTTGGAATGGTGACCTATCCAGGGTCTACTCCACCTCTCAAATAATAACAGCTGGAATAGCCTTGTGACACTAATATGAATAAGTGTTAGAGACAATGAATGGAAGGCTTTTTATCACCAGTAATCATTTGTAGATGTGTTACTATCATTGTACTGGCCACTGAATGGTCTGAGTATTAACGTAATAAAGGAAATGTACCGAGAGGGAATGTACCCAGAGAACCCAGAGAAGAACAAACAAACAAATGTGTTTGTTTTTTTTTGGGTCTGATTATGTATGTCCCTTCAAGTTTTTCCAATTCATTTTTGTAGCTCGGGGTTGTTCACACCGAGGGAGGGATGGTGGAGGGTGAAAACATCCACCTTGGGCCCAGTCGTTACATGGATGTCTTCAAGGGTATTCCCTTTGCTGATGTCCCAGGAAGACTAGAGAAGCCAAAACGTCACCCTGGCTGGAGTGGTGGGTAGAATGACTGGATGACTGATGTCTTATTTCATTTACAGGACCCTTGTTACATAAATAGAACACATTAGAATGGAATACATACATGAAAGCCCCCAAAAAGTTGTCTTTGCAGGATCATTCATCCTCAATGAGAAGCTCTGTGATAGCTCCTGTTTCTAAAGCGTGCTAAAGTCTGCTGTGACCGTCAAGCTGAATGACAATATAGGTTGAGGTAGTTACCTCAGGTAATTGCCTACCCTATGTTTGAAACCTGCCATCAGCCTGGAATGTAAATATTACTTTCTCTTGATCCCTTTGATGTGGGATTTGTTATTCTTACATTGTTGACCTCAACTTTCCAGGGCTGTTTAGAGGTTACTATCAAATAAATGATGCATGATGTCATCTTTATCTGTAATTAAAAAGGTCAAATGAAAATATTTTAGTTAGCGTTACAAAGATAAATAAGTGTTATATCTTGGAAGTGCTCTTACAATGTGACTGTGTGAGTTATCAGGTGTTCTGGAGGCCACTGAATATAGAAATGGATGCCTTCAGCTGGTCATGCCTATGATGACGAGCACCAGAGGTAGTGAGGACTGTCTTTACCTCAACATCTGGGTTCCTCATGGCAGCACAGGTAAGAATTAACTTAAGACACTCTAAGAGTTTCTGAAAGCTTTGACACACATTACAACTTTCTACAACTTTACTACTTTCTCTTCACCCTCAAGTGTCCACCAATCTTCCCGTCATGGTTTGGATCTACGGAGGAGGCTTCTTATTTGGAGACTCAATGGGCTCTAAGTTTTCTGATACCCATCTATATGGTGGTCAGGAAATTGCAGATAGAGGAAATGTTATTGTGGTGACACTGGGGTATCGCGTGGGAGCCCTCGGTTTTCTAAGCTCTGGAGACTCTAGTATGCCTGGTAGGTGATACTGGTTACTGTTACCAGATGATGTATTTCCTCTATTATAGTGCAAAATCTTATGTAAATGTGTCTATGTTTGTTTTTTGTCAGGGAATTATGGTCTGTGGGATCAACAGGCTGCCATTGCATGGGTGCACAGGAATATACAGTCATTTGGTGGAGACCCTGACAACATCACCATCTTTGGAGAGTCTGCAGGTGGAGCCAGTGTCAATTTCCAGGTGAGAAACTTGTAACTTTAGCTAAACGCATGGATGAAATTATTCATAAGTAACCTGGATGTATGTCCCTCTCCCCTATAGTAGAAAACTATGCTGCTGGCCTGGTATCGCATCTATGATATCTAAATCTAGGGTCTTTAATCTTCTAAGACCTCCAACCCACACACAAAAAGGGACCAGTTTTCGAAATAGAAAAATATCTTTATGTGGACAACCTGATAAGTTTAATTTACTTTCCGTTAGTGTAGAAATCTCTTCATAAAAAAACTATTAACTTAAATATACCTAAAAAAATAATTCAAACCAAAATGGATGTAAAAAATATATATCTAATAATTCAATACCTCACAAAATTAGGAGAACAAAAAATAGCAAATAAACTATTTTACTTTCAATGTTCCTCGGTTTTCATCTGTCACTTATTAGTCAATCTTGGCCAAAACGATAACAACCAAAGTTTCAGGCGGAATAAACTAGCAAAAAAAAGGAATAAAGAGTTCTCGGGTGGATTTCCTTTTGGTTTGATTCCTACCGCCCTCCTGGTCAGCCCAAACTATGGAAAACCAACGATGCATTTAAAGAACCTGGTCTTTTCTATTGCCGTAAATCTAACCGGGCTTACACATACAAGATACAATGATGCAAATTATAAGTATAAGGGCGGTCCTCAGGGGGACCAGGACTTTCTGTGTGGAGTTTGCATGTTCTCCCTCTGTCTGCATGGGTTTTCTCCAGGTACTCTGGCGTCCTCCCTCTATCCGAAAACATGCGTATTAGCTTGATTGGACACTCAAAATTGCCCCTGTGAGCCTGCGTGGTTGTTTGTGATTGTGTTTCTCTATGTGTCCCTACAATTGACTGGAGAACTGTCCAGGGTGTACCCCGCCTCTTGTTTATTGTGTACTGGAATAGGGTCCTGCACCCCCGTGACCCCATTGGGAATAAGCGGTACAGAAAATAGAGGGATTATAAGTATGACTCAAAATAACTCTAAATACTTTAGTCTACAAGTGTTTTTTTCTTTTCTTTTTTTGTCTATTCACAGATTCTGACTCCACACAACAAAGGACTTATAAAGAGAGCCATCTCCCAGAGTGGAGTGGCTCTTTGCCCGTGGGCAGTCAACAGGAACCCTCTCATGTTTGCCATGGAGGTACACAGCTGCTTCGCTGACATGTTGAAACCCCTTTTAAAGAAGAAACAATATTGGGTAAAACTGTGACTTTCTTTAATGGGAAATAATCAACGAGATCTGTAACCCCCTCTCCAGCTTGCTCTTCGAGTCAACTGCCCTACTGATAGGAGAATGGCTGCTTGTTTGAAGAACACCGACCCTGTGGTCCTGACTTTGGCGAGTGCTCCCTCTTTGTCTGGTTCCCCTGATCGTAAGCTTCACACTGCATAGATTTGAGCTTCTGCTACCATTTTCTATCGGAGCAGCACAGAGTGCAGTAGACTTGTAGAAATTTTAAATATTATTGATTTCCTTTGCAAATTGATACAAATGTTATGTATGTTAGAAATACCAAATATTAGAGTAAAAGAGCGCATTTAGACATTAAACGTTGGGAAGGTTTAAAAGTGGTGGTGTATTACTATAAGATTTTACCTGCTATACTCACTTTTAATAATAGAAAAAATAATCATTAAAAAAATCCAGAAAAGTCCCAAATTTTTTTTATTTTCATACCTAAAATGAGCTGCTTATTAAACACCAGAACCACCAGTTAGTTGACTGTGTGTCCCTAATTCATTTCTGGAATTTTCACAACACAAAAGTGTTTCATTCTTATTTTACTCTTATTTTACTCTTATTACTCTTATTTTAAACATTGGGCAGGTTTAACAGTGGTGTTGTATTACTCTAAGATTTTACCTGCTTAACTCACTTTTAGTAATAGAAAAATTAATCATAAAACGAATCCAGAAAAGTCCCGAAAATATTTTATTTTCATACCTAAAATGAGCTGCTTATTGAACACCAGAACCACCAGTGAGTTGATTGTGTGTCCATAAGTAATTTCTGGAATTTTCAAAACACAAAAGTGTTTTATTCTTATTTCACTCTATTGGTGATTTTTCATGAGTCTTTCATTCAAGTTGACTGTAAATAAAATGTAAGCCATATTGCTCCTAAGAACAGTCTAACAGTGAGAAAAACATTCCATAATATTACATCTCCCCATTGCTTATTTATCATGACCTATTCTCAAATGAATTTTAAATATCTGTTTTTTAGATTCAGTAAAATGCCTAATAGGTTTTTTGACTGTCTGCTTTTCCAAGATCCACTTGTGAAAAAGCTGGTCCTATCTCCTGTGATTGATGGTGACTTCCTTCCCGATGAACCCGACAAATTGTTCCACAATGCTGCTGAAATCGACTACATGGCTGGAGCCAATGACATGGATGGACATTTCTTCACTGGTTTTGATGTTCCGTCCATTAATTCTCAGCTGGTGGCTACTCCTGTGTGCGTTTAATTTGTTCCATCAGTGGGACATTTTAATAATTTGAAAATGGGTAATTTAAAAAAACCTGCAATCAGCATTAACACTCTCTTCCTTTACACAGTGAGGATGTGGAGAAGCTCTTGGTTTCGTTCACAAAGGAGAAGGGCAGGCTCGGCTTTGACAAAGCTTATTCCACATACACCTCAGACTGGGGATCGATTCCCAGCAGACAGACCATCAAGAAAACTGTTGTGGCCATTGAAACTGACTACATTTTCCTGATTCCCACTCAGGCTGCCCTGTATCTCCATGCTACCACTTCCAGGTGAGAATAAGATTTTCATAAACAGATTTACGTGCATCTGAAAAGCTCTTTGGTTCAACACAGGAGTAAAAGAAGAAGCTTTATTCAGTCATATCAAGTTTGGACAAAATCAAAGATTTGAAAAGGTGTCGATATGGTAGTGACAAAATGTACATGGTAGAAACATAGATTCCGATCTGTATGATGTGGCTTATTGGCATAAATGTTAATACTTTTTTCAATTTCACTCAAAGAACTGGACGTACATTCTCCTACCTCTTCTCTGAGCCAAACCGTATGGGTGGGATTCTCTTGCCCTACCCTAGCTGGGTTGGAGCTGACCACGCAGATGATCTCCAGTATGTGTTTGGATTGCCATTCACCACATCATCATTAGGATACTTGTCTCACCATCGTGATGTCTCCGGTTATATGATTGCCTACTGGACCAACTTTGCCCGAACTGGGTATAACCTTGCAAACACAAACTAAAGCAGTATCAAAGGAAAACAAAAAAAGTATGCGATTTGGTACCATTTCAGTTTCCTTTCTATCTGCTTATATTTCCAGAGACCCTAACCAAGGAGAGCTTAGAGTTCCCGCTACTTGGCCAGAATTCACCAGCTCAGGACACAAGTTCCTGGAAATCAATTCTAAGATGGACAGCAGCTATGTGAGAACAAAGCTGAGGCTGCGCTACGTGCATTTCTGGGCCAGCATCCTGCCCAGCTTGCCTGAAATTGTTTAAGAAAAAAGAGCATGAAGTATTGCCACACCTTATGTAGTACAAGTAATGTATCAATATTGATTTGTAAAAACTAAATGGGGAGCATCAACATGTTTTTGTCTTGTTATTTTTTTTTTTAACAATGGATGGATGGATGGATAGTTGAGTATGAAATAAGAGCTATGTAAAAAGCATTACAAAGATTAAAACCAAGGCAGAATAAACAAGTTTACGTTTAAAAGAGTTCTAAATACTTTTCTGACCCACCTTTCTTTCCCGTTTTTCAATCAGACAGTTTGTTAGGGAGTCGTGCCCACATCTTAATCCCTTAATCTGCACCCCCAAGATCTTGAATAGATTGTATGTAAACTGTTTTACTACTTTGAAGATTACTTAGAAGATGTTGATTAAGTACAAAGTCTATAAAGTTGCATAACCCCCCAAAAAAAAGAGTTGAACAATATCTTCTTATCCACATGTCCCAGTTATGGCGGCCTCATGGTCATGAGTATCTATTTTGGTACAATCCCATGTTATACAATTTATTGCATTCAATCATTAAATGTTTTTACTAATTTACAGTACTTTTTTAGGACATTCAATCCAACAGTGAGCTGGTTATCTTTGGATGTTTAGATTTCAGAACTACTGCTTAGCTTATACTTTTGAAATGGAGTTACAAATCTACCTTCCTTTAGAAAATGGTTAATTAAGACATCATTAACTACTTAATCACACTGCTAATTTCTGCATAAATATTATGCACTATACCACAATTGATCATAAAAAATGTTAATAGTAAAATGAAAAAAGACTGTGAAAAAAGGGTAAAACACACTTGTGTTGTCAACGGATAATTGAAATCATGTTTATTATTGATAAGTGTATTAAAGCTGTTCAAATAATCATTCTCAAGGAATGAGCTGAATCATTTTGCATTGTTTTCCCTAAATAATGAAAGAAAAGTACTCTTTTATCAAGGTCAGATTAACATTTTGCCAAATGTCCATGAGGAAGAAATTGATTTTTTGTGTCTTGACCGTTGACCCATGAACACAATATTTGTCAGCTTTAATGATCCCGCCGTCACCTCCGAGAGCCTTCCAGGTAGCCAAGGTTAACCGTATGTGACTCTGTCTGGGAGAGAATGCTGGAAAATCTAATACAATCTGAGAAGGTATTTGTACAGCTGTGGTCTACCTATTTTACGCACAGCACATTCTCTGATTGTCAGGATAATTTGAACAAATTATTGTTTGTTTATCTATCACAGCCTACCATAAACACAGTTATCTTCAACTGTGGAAAAACAGAAACTTGAATTAGATTATTTTTATACGGTATTGTATAAATTATGCCTGTAAGCATCTAATCCTTGTTCTTAGAATGTTTGAGAGTTTGCCCATCTGGTCACCAAACTAGTCAAGGTCGGCATCAGAATGTGTTTTTCTTTATCATTGAACACATGTTGTAACCCTTGATTGCCAAGCTTTCCAATATGACTGTTTATGTAATCCTGTACTGGACTAAGAGGTGTGATCAAGTCATTGTTGAATCAGAAATTAAAGAAGAATGACCAATATCTAATGCATTTTATGGTACTATGGCTACTGGGTACTGTTTAAATTGAGCTGTGGACAAAAGACCTCATGAAGATTGGAAGAGATACCATCTGTGAAAACATACGTCATAGGAAAATACTGTATGACAAAGTAGATAGAACTATGGCCTCAGAAAAGATATTCTGAGTTAAGCTTCGTAAAGTAGTATCTTTATGTAAATTCATATTCTGTTCTGTTAAGAAAGATGGCCTTTATAAAAGTCTAAAAATACCTAAAGAGCGAGGATGACACAAGAACTTACACACAGATATCCAGTAGGAAGTGTGGGCGTAAGCTCTGAGGATCTCTTTGCCATGAGGACAAGCAAGATGAGCATAAAGGCTAATTTATATGCATTAAAAACTGCAACAGTCAAATAAAATTAACTAATCTAGCTTTATAGCTAAAATCAATAATTGACAGTTTGGCACCATGGAGGAAAACTTAGGTGTAATCATAATTCAGCTAACACTCATTGCACCAGCAGGCGTCCATGAGTGTTTCACATGCCACAATGTTTTGCCTATATTTTTGTCACAACTGATAAGACCCACTGTTGGTATCTCTTCAAAACTGCCAAACTAATTTTTTGAATGAATCCCTCTTCATCTATACATAGAATCTAAAAGTAAATGTTTATCGATACAATCCATTTGGGTACAATACTATTACTGTTAAATTTTTTAGGTAATCCATGGTACACGTTGAGAAGAATTGAGTACACATCAACCGGTTAATTATTACATAACTGTGAGAAAAAAGGAAAGGACTGCACATTGGTCAGATTAGGGGTGGGGTCCACTTTATTAAAGCCTGTTTGACAGTCAGCCTGGTTCACACAGCGTGACCCTGATGGCCATGATTGGGACTCTGATTGCTGTTGCCGTGTTTCTCAAGACGGTCTCCGCCACCTCCGTAAGTTCCAAAACCATTCTTTGTTACATAAAGAAAATGCAGTGTTTCCTTAACACCACTGAACGCATACTAAGATTTCGCAGCTGCTATGTACAGCTCATTTAAGTTTTTTCTTTGTTTTTGTAGCTCGGGGTTGTTTACACCGAGGGAGGGATGGTACAGGGCGAAAACATTCGACTTGGCTACCGTCGCCACATGGACATCTTCAGAGGGGTTCCCTTTGGTGATATCCCTGGAAGATTTGAGAAGCCAAAGCCTCACCCTGGCTGGGATGGTGGGTTGGACTCTGTAAGATTAGACTACCCGTTCAGCAGAAGTAGAAGAGAGTATTTGACTTTGTTTTTCATTTTTAATTGCAGAGATTTGACATGAAGTAACAATCTGTGAAGTAGTGGGAGATATACAAAATGTCCAGTGCGCTACCTTTATCTGTAATTTACCCGAATGAAAACCATTTATTTAACATTGTACTAAGTACAATATCATGGACACGATCTGTCCTCTCAGTTTTTTCAAAATCTTTCACTCTGTTCGTGTGGCCAGGTATTATGAAAACCACTGAGTTCAAGAATAGATGCCTTCAGCTAAACTTGCTTATGAGTGACACCAGAGGCGATGAAGACTGTCTTTACCTCAACATCTGGGTTCCTCATGGCCGCTCAGGTAAACACTTAAAGACACTCTCAAAATATCCTTAAATGTCAACAAACACTACAACTTTCTCTTCACCCTCAAGTGTCCACCAATCTTCCTGTCATGGTCTGGATCTACGGAGGTGCCTTTTTGGTTGGAGGCTCAATGGGTGCTAACTTTCTAGACAACTATCTGTACAGTGGACAGGAAATTGCAGAAAGAGGAAATGTTATTGTGGTGACGTTTGGATACCGTGTGGGAACTCTTGGCTTCCTGAGCACCGGAGACTCTAGTATGCCTGGTAGGTAATGGTCAAGATGTTTGGCCCCACTTCATTTTGTATTTCTTCCATTAAAGAACTATCCCTGTAAATGTTTATCTGAATATTTTCATCATGAATTTAATCCTTGTCAGGAAATTATGGTCTGTGGGATCAGCAGGCTGCCATTGCTTGGGTGCACAGGAATATTCGATCATTTGGGGGAGACCCTGACAACATTACCATCTTTGGAGAGTCTGCAGGTGGAGCTAGTGTCAGCTTTCAGGTGAAGATTTGTTTTTTATTGGCTTTAGTTTACTTATGTCTACATTGTATCATACAAGTTGTATAAATGCATATTGTTGTGCTTTACCTTCTGGTGGAAATGGGGTGCATGGGAATACGGAAACACATTACAAAGGATTCTCATTGACAGCTTTTAATTATCACTGGCAACAATTTTTTTACAATCACAACTGATGTTAGTCTGGATCATGCATTGAGGTGTTTAGCCTCTATCTCTGGCACAGACTGCCCTTAGCAGTGTCAATGCAGTGAGCTACAAGGACCGAAAAAGCTAAGAATAATAGAACCAACAAATCTTGCCATGGTAAAAACGTACCATCCAATTACCTGTAAAGTTGCACAGCATTCACTGACGTAACTCTAGGCTGGGAAAAATTCAATGAAACATAAGACTATGCTTGTAGGCTTACAACCGATTTAGCTACCTTCTGATATTCATGGAATTATTAACTATTTCCGTTTTTGGGAATGATTCAAAATCACTTTAAAGGATGTACTTTTATTCCTTCTATTGGTCTTTTTGTCTGTTCACAGACACTCACTCCTCACAACAAAGGACTTTTCAAGAGAGCCATCTCCCAGAGTGGAGTTGCTCTTTGCCCTTGGGCGGTCAACAGGAATCCTCGCAGGTTTGCCGAGGAGGTACAAGGCTGCTTTTCTGTTGTAAAAAGGAGTTTTGAAGAGAAAAAAAATCAAGAACAAATAATTTCCTTGATAGGAAATGTCATATTTAAAGAAGATTCTAACTTACTATCCAGGTTGCTCTTCGAGTCAACTGCCCCACGGACTCAAGAATGGCTGCTTGTTTGAAGATGACCGATCCTGTGGTCCTGACAATGGCGGGCACTCTTAGCTTGACCGGCTCCCCTGACAGTAAGGTTCACACAGCGTTCATAAGCTCATTTTATCAATAAAAAACAACTCACAATTACCAATTCTAAGAGCTGTCAGGTATGTGTCAATTTGAATAACTATTAGGTGCTCGAAAGGTCAGAAGGGAACAGAAGTACACCACGGTTTTAATTAAGTTTAGAAGTGATGTGCCACAGACTTACTGTTTAAATGAACAGTGGATCTTGTTTTGGGAAAATGGATGACAAATGAGAGGATATTTCAATGCGCGGCATGCTAAGTCATGGGCTGCATGATAAGTGATGGTGATAAGTGCAACAAAAACCTTTACAATTCTTAGATGGGGCCTTTCTGGAGATCACAAATTATCTCTGTCTATGCGTAAATTCTCTTCTAGCACTCCAGCTTCCTCTCAGCATCCAAAAACAGGTGACTTGTTATCTCATTCTTCTCTGTAATGCCCTGTGGTGAACTGGTGTCCATTTCAGGGTGTAGTAATTTGTTTACTTTCTTTTGTTACTTCTGTTTCCTCTCCTAACCATTTATTAAGTCATCTGAGCACATCAGATGGAAAAGCTCCAACTACAAACCTTAAGTGTTATTGCTTTTTTGTATGTCAGAGCACACAGCTTAAAGTAATCTAAATAAAAGCTTGGAGCTGTAAAACAAAAATATTTCTGGCAACAGGTATCTAAATTTTGCTAGACTTTTGTTGAAAGTTTTTTTGTATGTCAGAGCACACAGCTTAAAGTAATCTAAATAAAAGCTTGGATCTGAAAAACAAAAATATTTCTGGCAACAGGTATCTAAATTTTGCTAGGCTTTTGTTGAAAAAAAAAATGCAACCACACATTGAAGTATGAACTCGCATATTGTCCACTGATAAAAAAAAGATTTCAGAGATATCATTTTCAATTTAATAAGTATCCAAGAATCCAATTCTGCATTAATACATTTTATCCCTCTTATATATATGTAAAAATATCTGGTATGTCTGACTGTCTGACTGTTTTTCCAAGATCCACTTGTGAACAACCTGGTCCTGTCTCCTGTGATTGATGGTGACTTCCTGCCTGATGAACCCGACAAATTGTTCCACAATGCTGCTGAAATTGATTACATGGCTGGAGTCAATGACATGGATGGACATTTATTCACCGGTTTAGATGTTCCATCTGTCAACTCCCAACTGGTGGACACTCCCATGTGAGTTTAACTGATTTGATCAGCAGGATGATATTATAGCTTTAAAATGGCCGGGATGTTTTTTTAACCAATAATCAGAATTAAATACTCTCTCTCTGCCTCTTCACATCAGTGAGGACGTGAAGAGGCTCTTGGCTTCATTCACAAAGGACAAGGGCAGGCTTGGCTTTGACAACGCTTATTCCACATACACCTTGGACTGGGGATCAAGTCCCAACAGGGAGACCATCAAGAAAACTGTTGTGGCCATTGAAACTGACTACATTTTCCTAATTCCCACTCAAGCTGCCCTTTACCTTCACGCTTCCAATTCAACGTGAGTATGATTTTGATAAACAGATTTCTTTATCACTTTAAATGAGAAGCAGTTTTCTTTTATAGCGTAGTGGCCAAACCAGTATACCAAAAGTGTATCTTCAGAGTCTGTTGGGTGTGGTAGATTTCCATGTATTTAAATATATCTTTGTTTTTTTTATCTTAACAAAGAACTGGGCGTACCTACTCCTACCTCTTCTCTCAGCCCAACCGTATGGGTGGGCTTATCTCACCTTACCCCAGCTGGATGGGAGCTGACCACGCTGATGACTTGCAATATGTCTTTGGAAAGCCATTTACCACACCTCTGGGATACTGGCCTAGCCATCGTGATGTCTCCGGTTATATGATTGCCTACTGGACCAACTTTGCCAAAACTGGGTATAATCCTGCAGACATAAACTAAAGCAGTATCAAAGAAATGAATGTGGAATTCTGATGATTTAAGTATCCTTTCTCTCCGGTAATATTTACAGAGATCCTAACAAAGGAGAGCTTAGTGTTCCCGCTACTTGGCCAGAATTCACCAATTCGGGACACAAATTCCTGGAAATCAATTCTAGGATGGACAGCAGCTATGTGAGACAGAAACAGAGGCTGCGTTACGTGCATTTCTGGACCAGCATCCTGCCCAACTTGCCCGACATCATCTCAGAATAAAGAGCGTGAAGTTGTAACAATGCATTTAAAGATAGACCAACAGATCTAATGAAACACATCTGCATTTGTCAATAAAAAAACAAACCAAGTTTTTTATCTTGGTTTTGATAACTACTGGTCTTTAAATTTGTGATGTACTTGTATAAACCTATGTGGATTCACAATGTACAGTATGTGAAGCTCCAGATGCTTAAGCTTATCTGATCAGAGGATTTTTACATTTTTTCTCCTAAAAAACAGGGGAAAAATCATCCAACAAAGGCCTGCAAGAAAAGGTATGTCTTAAGAGAAGACCAGATTAACTGTAAATCAAATAATTAAAAAAGAGAAGGTTTTAAGACATTACCACTAAATTTGAGAGAAATAAATGGACAGTACTATACTCGTATAAAATTCTTCTACTCTAGCTGACCACTCAAAGTGCTTTCACACAACATGCCACACAGCTTATTTGTTTATTCTAAGAAAACAAGTTACACAGTACATTTTTTAGGTACAATCGTGGCTAAAGTTTGGAGAATAACCCAAATATTGCACATTCACAGGGTCTGCTGCTTCAGGTGTTTTTGTCAGATGTTTTTTGGTGTATTGAAATATAATTACAAGCATTTCATAAGTATTCAAAAGCTGTTACTGATAATTGATTTTCAAGACCTGTGCAATTCTTGGCATGCTGTCAATCAACCTCTGGACCAAATCCTGACTGATGGCAGTCCATTCTTGCATTATCAATACTTGGTGTTAGTCAGAATTTGTGGGGTTTTGTCCCCACTTCTTGAGGACTGACCACAATTCCTTTATATGGGATTAAGTTCTGTGGGGGTTCCTGACCATGGACCCAAAATCTTTATGTTTGTCCCTCGAGCCATTTAGTTATGGAAAGTTGCTCCATGCTGGTTGACTACAATATAAAACAGTTACATCACCACAGTGGGTCTTATATTAGAATTAGCTGTCACCTATGTTCATTATCTAATGAAGGAGAAATATGAACATAGTATCTCTCAAAGAATTAATAATTTCTAAAAGCTAAATGTAACACATAAAGTGTATTAAATATCTATGCATCTGTATGTTGCACTTCAGAAGGAGTGGTTGTCCCTCATCTAAAGTAACTGGTTTAATCCTCAAAATTCCGTTTTACGAGTTATTCAAGATGTTGGAACCCAGCAGTTCAATAACACATTTTTTAAAAGTTAATTAGCTATCAATTAATTAATCTCACTGACAAAACTGATACAGTGATGAGGGGATTGGGACTTTTAAAGGAAATGTGTCAGATATGTCTGATGCTTTAGTAATATGTTGTAAATGTTTAATGAAAACTTTTCTCTGAAATAACTTTCCAAACTTAGTTTTGTGCGGTGGGTTAGATAATTAAAATAAATAGTTTCTACAGTGCCTATCTTCTTAATAGCTTTTTTTCTTGCATGTCCTCCAGGATTTGTTTTGAATTCTGCAAACTGCTAGAGTTCTGACTTCTATATACCAGTAGGAGAACAAACAACAAATGAGAATACTATGGGTCAATGTTCTAACTTCAGATAAAAATTAGATGAGGCTCTTGCTCAGAATAATCTAATAATTGTTTGATAATTATTTCGGGTTACTGTAGCTCATCTAGTTGGATATGCATTATTGGATGAACGCAGTGTACCTACCACTCTGATGACGCTAAAATGTTTTTCACTTGGAAACACGACACAAGAAATTTGAGTGCTCATACTTGGAGCCAGCAGCAGGTACAGCTGGTCTCTGGGTGTGTCTTTGAGTCTTTATCACATCTAACCACTGGAATTTTGCCAGGCAACAGTGTTTCTCAGGTCACAACTGCCTTCAAGCTATAGATGTTCTGCACAGAAATGTTTGAATTATGATTTCAGACCTTATGCAGGAAAGGAAAACTTCGATTCCAAAATCCAAACTGAAACTGTTTTTTTTTATAAAAAGAATTATTTAGCAGCAGTCTTTATTCCTTAAATTTGAACCACTTTCACATCACTACCACATGATGGGGATCATGTTCTGAAGGTAACTGATTTGTGTCCCATGTGATACTCAATGAACTGAATGACCTGGTTTGTTTCAATTTGACAAGAGCATCTAAGCCGTCTTTGTGTTTGGAGAATGTCAAATCCATGATGTAAATGATCATGTTCCCTGATTATCCCTCTTATAGTTTCTGTATGCTTTGATCTTATTGATCTTAAGTCTTTTGGCATGTGAGATGTGATGTTCCAAATTCTTACAAGGACTTTTTAAAAACTGTCTCTCCAATTATATTCTATCGGTGCCCAAAAACAGTAAAAATGAATACTTGTGAATACTTGGAAATTTGCAAGGTTGCGCATTTCTGGCAGAACTTGGGATTCATCCACATAAAAAGTAGATAAATGAAAATCGGAAAGGTCTTTGGTAAATTGTAGAGCGATTAACCAAAGACTTCTTCAGAGAAGTCATACAGTGTTTTGATTTTGTCTTGGGAATTGGTCCACCTCATCACTGAGCTAATGTTAGATGAACCCAGGTCATTCTTGACCTGGGTTCATCTAATTTCTGTGCTTGAGATTTGTTATTTCCAACACCCATTGTTAAATGTCTGACAGGTTGTTAAACTGTTAGTGCTTATGTGGTTTTAATTCAGCAATTGGACCCTTGAGGTAGTTCCTTTAGAGAGACCATCCTCCAAGCTCCAGCATTTACAGGTTTGTGTTCTGGAAGGCCGGGTTGGCCCCAGGTGTGGCATATATAAAGCCGTTTCCAAGACGTCTGTGTCAACACTCTGCCTGATCGTGATACTTGCCTACCTGATGTCTAAGTGAGTGGTTAACGACAAAAAAAGACATTAAAGTTATAGCATGTCCAGTGTGCGTATTGCTGCTGTTTTTGCTGGCCTGGGAGTTGGTGTCATGCTCGCGTTACGAGTGCGGGACCCACTGGACGTCCCGCTGGGCGAAAGCGCATTACGCACAGCCAAGGAACAGGCTGCGCTCTGCATAATCGGCGGAGTTTCCCTCTACATCGTTTACTGGCTGTACCGACTGTTCCTTTGTCCTTTGGAAGTACTCCGAACTCCCGATGATGTGGGGTACATCGCCGAGGACGGTCGCACCAAGGCGCAGGCAGCGAACGAAGTGCGCCGTAGGAGGAAAATTGGAGATCTCCCTCCGATTTACCCGAACGGCTGGTACCGAGTTCTGGACTCCCACATGCTGAAGAGGGGTCAAGTAAAAAATGTCTCTGTTCTAGGTATGACAAATTAAGGCGCTTAGATTGACATTTAAGATTGACCAACCACTAAAGATTGCAATACAATATTACCTCCCCTCATTTACATAATAAAATAGAGAAAGACTTAGTAAAACGAATGACAAAGGCAAACAAGTGGATCATTCTGTCGAAGTAGTATCAAAACCTGTTAGTCTTCAAACAGTTTAGAAAGGGTTAGAAACTTCAGTTTTGTCTGCAAAGTTTACTCAAAGTTTAAAAGTTAAACACTGATCACAAAGAAAACGTATCACTGTCCTGATGCAACAGTCTTAGTTAACAATGTTAAAGAAAAGAAAAAAGTCTTGTCACTGACTTGTGCCCCCATTCTTGCCCCCTTCTGAAAAGATTCCTGGAGGTCAAGAATAATTATGACCATACATTCTCACTGCAATCATCAGGTCTGCATACACATGTCACTTAGTAAAAGTAATAAAGTCATAGATAGTTATTTGTGAAGAATAAATTCAAATACATTTATCAAACTGAAATGAACTTATACATATTTCCAAAAGGAGGTGGCACAATGGTGTGGTGGTTAGCACCTCACAGCAAGAGGGTTCCTGGTTTGAGTCCCCGGGGGAACTGGGACCTTTCTGTGTCGGGTCTGCATGTTCTCCCTGTGCATGGCTGCTTTCTAGGTACTCCGGCTTTCTCTCACAGTCTAAAAACAAGTCTTTAAGGTTAACTGGACACTCCAAATTGCCCCAGGAGTGAATGTGAGTGTGCGTGGTTGTTTTTCTGTGTAGAACTGTGATGGACCCCTCGACCGTTGTCATCTGGGATAGGCTCCCATAACCCTGTTGGGAATAAGCGGTCTAGAAAATGGATAGATATTTGCAAAAGAGAATGCCTTTATACTTTATGTACTAAGACGCTCTCCAAATTCCTGGAAGAGATTGTTGCTTGTCAGAGAAATTCAACCTCAGCTGCTCTTGCTCACAAAAAGAAGGTGAGCTGCTGTTGTCTTATTATGTAATACGTTTGCACAAACCAGCTCAACAGCATTCATAAGAGACTGTACAATAGCCTAGTTTTCCAATGCCTGAAGTATACAAATGTGAGACCTAAAATAACCATTAAGTGTTTTCAATAAATAATTTAATTTACATGTAACTAAAGGAACACTTTCATTGCTAGGTCAGTTCTAGTTCACCAACAGCCAATTTGGATAAAAGCCAAGATATGAAAGACAAACCTATTCACGATTTTACTCTTTGGATTGTTTACACTTATTACAGACAATTGCCAAGCACTTGCTAGGTGAGGTTGTGTTGCCAAGCACTGCAACTCTTTCTGTGAGCCCTAATCGCTTCATTTTTAAGGTTTTTTATTTATTTGAAGTCGCCATGGAGACAAATGTTGTGGTTACCAGTGTTCTTGCTAGAGTTAACTGGACAGTTTTAACCACATTGTCTGAGCACATGGAGATTTCTTGTCATTTATTTTACTTTTATAATTGCAGATAGCTAGCTGCATGAGAGTTTTCTATTGAAATCATGTTTAGCCTTGTTTTTTAATGTACATCATGTTCTGAGATGACCACTTATAGAAGATCACCACTCGTGACAGCTTAAAGGCTGTGGTTCGGTCACGCTTTTTTGTCTCCGTGCTATTTCACGTTCACCCATCCAAAGTTTGAATGCCGATATTTGTCTGTGATTTAGTCAGATCTGCATTTCCCCTTTGAATGCGTTACTCGCATTTTGATCTGTGGGGGGACTATTTGATCTACCTTGAGGTCGAGTTCAAATAGGTTTCAAACGGGGTGTGGAGCTTTCATGTTTCCCTCACATCATGTGCAACACAGCCTCAAATAACCCTTGTATGAAAGGTGTCATACTTGAAAAAGACATTAACAAAGTGACACCTGTTATTACAGAGTAATGCAGGATGCTGGCACTAATGATCATCTTAATCAGCCGCTTCCCTGTGGAAAAAAACTCAAAAATCCAAATCTTACAGTTTTTATTCAGATAAATACCATCATTCTATTTCCTATATATTCAATCAAATGAACAATTATTATGATTAAGTATCAGTAGTTTACAATAAGCCTTTGACTTGGTTTGATTTGCTTGTTAAATATACGTTGTTTTTTTCTTTACAGTGAGAGTTGCAGAAATATTGCAAAAGTGTTGAACCAATTTTGTTTTTTTTTGTCTTGAGGATGGTTGTCAGGCCTTTCAGAAGTGTGAAGCAGATCAATGCTATAATGCTTTGGGATGAGGGACTGCCATACAATCAAAAGCAATGATGACAACAGATTTATTTTTCATCAGGAATATATAAAAACATCTCTATTCAGTATGCTGATATGATTTAAAAAAAAAAAAATCATTCATCTCGTCCTCCTCTTTAGACCATTCTAGAACAAGTTCTCGCTGTTTCCTCTGACATTTTACTGTCCCACATTCTGCTGACCTAAATCAAAAGCTGGCCTTTCTGCAGTTCATGCATCATGCTAGTGTTACTTGAATGTCCCTACCAACTTTATTCCGTTTGAAGTAGCATCACTAAATAAAAAGTCTCCTGCTTATTTTTTTACAGATAATTTTTGTGAAACAGTTAAATAATGAAAATCGTGCCCAGATCTTTACATGAAAACCAACTTTAAAGCTATTAAGAAGGGGAACCACCATACCATGTTTGGTGCCATAAAAACAACTCAAACTTTAATAAACTTGAAAAACATCTTGAGTAAGTGTGAATTAGGTTCATATATGGTACCAAAAGAAGTTTTATTATTCTTTAAGTTATGATTACTACCTTTTTCATTTTTATTTTCATTATTGATGAAAATGTTTTAAAATTGTGTTCTTAGAAAGATTTTCTAAACTTTATACTGTATTATAATCTGCTGTAGAGCAAGATTAATTACTTGAAGCTAAATTAGTCATGATTTAAAAGCCTCTCTCTTCTGTAATTAATCTTCCCAGGTGAACAGGTGGTGGTTTTTCGGAGCCAGGATGATAAGGCCTTTGTGCTGGATGCTTATTGCCCCCACTTGGGTGCCAATCTGGCTGTTGGGGGAAGAGTGTCAGGAAACTGTATAGAATGCCCGTTTCATGGATGGCAGTTTCAGGGTGAAGATGGGAAGTGTGTGAAGATTCCTTATACAGGGAAAGGTAAGAATCAGTGATGAATGAATGGTGTCATTATATATATATATATTGAATACCGCTATCTTAGTGAAAAAAAGACAAGCCTCAGTGAACAAACTTCTTGAAGATTATCATTTTAAAAAGATAAATTCATATCATTATAAAATATGACTTTGATTTCCTTTTTCCCTCAGTGCCAGAGTTTGCTAAGGTACGTCGTTGGCTCAGCTGTGAGGTTAACCAACAGATCCTGATTTGGTTCCACTGTGATGGAGAAGAACCCCCGTGGACCATCCCAGAGGTGCAGGAGATCACTAACAGACAGTGGGTATATCGGGGGAGAGCCGAGCATTTCATCAGCGCTCACATCCAGGTGGGTGTTTGCAGGGGTATTTCTTTTCATGCAACATCATACTCAATGATGATTTGAAGACTAAAAGTGGTTTAAAAGTTGTTTTCTGAGGTATGCCCAAACATCCCTTGGTTATTGTTGACACCCATGGGTTTCGATTTATTTGCCATTGTATTTCATGAAAAAAAGCAGAGATTAAGTTTCCATTTCAGTGTCAAAATATGAGACGTGTCCTTTCCATTTAGGAGATTCCTGAAAACGCAGGGGATATAGCTCATCTGAATCACCTGCACACGACTGGAATAGTTAGTGGAGCAGATCTACGCCACACCAACAGCAAAACATGGGAATTTTTGCAACATTACTGGGAGGTGAAGGGCTTTAAAAGTCAAATTAAAACAAGCTAAATTTATAGTTTCTTAAAAGATTTACCATTAAGATTAAGATTAGATACATTAGCATTAATTGTCTACCATGGATATTTCTATTCACTTTCAAGTCTGTTAACTATTTTACTTTTCATTGGTAATTTTCAACATAATTGTGTAAGCTGCCAGTGCACTTCTTTGTCTGAATGCCTCCTTGTCTGGGTTTCTCTTCAAGGCTCACTGGGAGCCAGAATTGGAGCCTAACACGCATTGCTCTCAGATGGTCATAAAGCATACACTTACTGTGTTTGGATGGCACTGGCCTCTGCTAGATCTTCGAGTCGTGGCCCGACAGGTAAAATAAATCTATGAAGTTTAGTACAATATCTCTCTTGGAAAAGTGAGGACTTAAACTGTTTGACTTTTTATGCCTGTTGTATTTTACAGGGATCGTTTTTCATAGTGAAGTAACAAATTTCTTTCCATAGCCTGAAAGACATGGGTTAACTGGAGGGGGTGAAGGTATAAATCAGAAGTGATGTTTCAGGGATAAACTTATTCACTGGCCAACTCGTGCTCAGCTGGAGATTTTCTTTTTTTTCTTGTGAGTTGTTATTATCGGAAAATGATGCTGTACTTTGAAACTACTAATGTTTGTAGTTCAAACATGTATGACGGGTCTGTGAGAGAGCATTTTCTCCTAAAGTCCAATAAAAATAATGTAGAAAAATATATTTATTTGGCTACATACAGGAATGAGATGATGGAGATTTTAGAATGAAAGGCAGAAAGGGCTAATGTCAGTATTCAGTTCTAATCATCAAACTGCTGGCCTTTAAGGCATATTAGTAGTCAGGGCCGTACCTTCAGTTGACATCTGTGCGAATGCTCTCAGCATGAAGAATCGAGGAGGGATTCTTTAAGTATGCAGAGCTCAGGGCTACTCACGATTCAGGCTTCACAGAAGCAAATGTTTGCACTGTCAATGATCTAAAACATGTCACATCTCAGCATTTTCACGGTGCTTCGAAGGAACACTTTTGAATTGGTTCATTTAACCCCCATTTCGCTCCTTATGTGAATATTTTCACAACCAAAATACATCTCTGATGCCACATACATTGTACATGTACATTGTACCACCTATACTTGCCTGGCTCACAGTTCGATATGCTATAATGTATATCAAGACCATAAAATGAGCAAAAAACTTTTAAAAAGCAGTCTGACTGCTCTCTAATGCAATTATAATTCAGACTACGCAGGTAATTCACAATTTCCCAGTTCAGAATAAACGTGATGCCCATTAGATCACAGAATTATATGAAATGTTGTCGATTGTACGTAATTAAATATATATTTAAACAACCATGTCACTAGGAGAATAAATGGTGCAGAAACAACTGACAAGTCATACTGTCAACAACTCCTAGTAGTACACATTGAATTGCATATTTTCATTCAAATGAAGCTCTCCCTTTTAACACATTTTACATGTATGTGTTCCAGGTGGGTCCTGGAATAGTGTTTCTACAGTTTGAGCACAGCTTTCTGGGACGGGGATTGATCATCCAAAGTGTGACTCCTGTGGAGCCTCTGTTGCAGCGGGTATCTCACAAAATATTTTTTCAGTCAAACATCCCCGCCCCAGTGCCCAAATTCATCCTCAAAGCGGAGTGTATTCAGGTGAAGTAAATTTGTCTCTCCTATGGTTACATACAAAGACACATAGCCTGTGATTGTTGTTTGTGTTTGTGATTTTATGGATCTGTTTCTTACTTGTACGTTCAAACCCCATATGAAGTTGTATTTCAGAACTGCTTTAATTCAGACAGATCATTGGATGCAATTTACACTCACAGAAGTAACACCACACAGTCACAGAAAAAGTGTAAATGGCTCTCAATAAACCTGATAATTAGATGGCTGGTGATGAAACGCAGTCACAAGAAAAAAAGCAACTAGTAAACAGGCCCAAGATTGAAAAGAATAGGAACCTGTGTTGTTTGTTTGGTTAACAACAGCTTGTCGATACACTCTTAAGGTCCTTGTAAAGGAAGTAAATTAATAGACAACGTTATTCATGATAAAGATGGCAACTGCTGTTCACTTTCAGAGATTATTGTGCTCCATGTGGCACTGAAGACAAACAAAATCCATTTTCAAACATGGTTAGGGAGGGGGAGTTTTCATTGAAATGTCAAATCTCAGCAGCTGATGATGAAGTTACTGTGGAGTGGCATTTAATCAACAATGCTTCATGCAGAACCCTTCCCCACTGATAAACTGACAACGATCATTTACAACAGCAAGTCTTTTCAAATGATTCTCACACTTTTTAAACGCAACTGCAAACTCCTAATGAAAGCGACTCTGTAAGTCACAGCCAATTAAAAAAACTCTCGGACATTTATTGACCCCCTCTTGTTTTTTGTTCTGTGTGCAGTTCGAGCGCGACGTGATGATCTGGAACAATAAGAAATACGTCGCTAAGCCCATCCTTGTGAAAGAGGACTCTGGCATCCAGAAGCATAGGCGCTGGTACAGTCAGTTTTACAGTGAGAACAGCCCACGGCTGCAGCACCAGCGTGACACTTTAGACTTCTAACCTCCCTCAGCCACAGGAGGTGAGTTCCACTGGCATATCTGATCAGGGATGCCACAGTCTCTCAGTGGAGGGCATCAACTATTAGACTCCATTCCACAGTCTGGTTTGAAGCTAATTAAACCGCCTGCATAGTGTCACCTGCGGCAATCATTTTAGGCCTTATGTTTGAATGTCTGAGTTCCTCTCAGCTGCTTTAATCATGATGAGAAACTGCAGAATTATGGCCTTAATAGTGAATACGGGACAATTTGATAACTCAAACTATCATTTGTTTTTATTTGTTTTGTTTTTCTTCATGAATGTAATCTGCAATCTCATTTCTAGAAGCAGAAAAATATAATGTGAGCACTTTTTGCCTTGATCTTAAAGATGGTGAACTTAATGCCATGCCATCCATAATGATTCCAACAGAATCACTGTTTTACTTATGTTTTTCTATTTTCCATTTGAATGAAAACAGCTATTATGGAATTAAGTTTTCTGACACATTTTTGGTATTTGTTTCACAAACATTTTTTCCCACAAATTCCGAAAAATTGTAAGATATTACATGAATCATGCCAATTTGTTCAGTTTTATTCCCTTATTGGAGCTTTTTAAGTGCTCTTTATTTTTCCTTTTACTGAACTGCCTTCTTCCAATCGTTTGGCTCAGTCCAACATTAATTATCTAAAATAGGGTGGTGTGTCATCCCAGTCACACCAGAATTGTGAGATGGTGATATATTGCTGAACTCAACATTTGATTAATTCTATATCCTGAAAAATTAAAACATTTATTAAAGTCAGAAAACACATCCATGTAGGTCTGCTTCTCTGGTCATTTTTATTTAATTAATGGACCACTCTTGTCATTTATATTTGAAAAAGAAATGATCATTTTGGCTAGCTCTGGACCCGTGGGGTGTTGGCAATTAGACCATCCAAGACACGGTCAATGAAGGCCTAATACAACGATCCGTTCAGTTTTTGTTTTTATTGTGGATATGTTGTGGCACTTTGTACATTTTAACCAAAAAGGTTGACTTATTTATTTTACCAAAATAATTGTAGAATAGTGCTGCAACAAATGATGAGGTGACCATTAGAATGTTTAAAAACAATGATTGTGATATTACATTTCACTGACACTCACTGAATATTAAAATAAATTCAGCTGAGATGCAGAATTGTTCTATGTTTTCATTTGAAACTCCGAAAAATGTTTGCTGGTATATTGATACAAATACTTATGTGTACATATTTGCTTGAACATATAATCTACACTAGTATTATACAGTTTAGAAGTGAAAATATTTGATTTTAGTTTGATTGGTCTACATGTCTATGATCCACCGTTCATGGTGTAATCACTATCTCAAGATGTACTTTAGTCTAATTAGTTTAGTTATTCTAGAATTAGTTTGACCTGCTGTGAAAGTTCATTACTCATTTTTGTCATTTTAGAAATATAGCTTACTTCTGCAATCTTTTATCATTTTGTCCACCCTGATTTGTTCATGTGGATGATGAATCTTATCTTAAACTACTTCCTATGATCATAGCTTGGTTATTTTTTGCTTATACACTATATACTATACTTCACTATATTCTTAGCAACCAAAAGCATCTTAATCTTCCAGGCTGGAAAGCTTTGTGTGCTAATCTCAACCATTACATCTGCAATCTTTCTGCAGAGAGCAGAGATGAATGCTTCAAATAAATGTCCAATCTGCTGTTGCGTTTCCTGTAGATGCACTAGATGCTCAACCTTGGAAAAAAAATCCTGCAATTATTTAGCTTTTCTTGAGGCTGAATTGTATTTTTTCAATACTTGACTTTCTCAGTGGCTAAAAGTGATCTGTTTATCTCTGTTGGACACGTCTGCAGTTTCAGAGATACACTATATTGCCAAAAGTATTTGCTCACCTGCCTTGACTCACATATGAGCTTAAGTGACATCCCGTTCCTAATCCATAGGGTTCAATATGACGTCGGTCCACCCTTTGCAGCTAGAACAGCTTCAACTCTTCTGGGAAGGCTGTCCACAAGGTTAGGAGTGTGTTTATGGGAATTTTTGACCATTCTTCCAGAAGCGCATTTGTGAGGTCGCACACTGATGTTGGACGAGAAGGCCTGGCTCTCAGTCTCCGCTCTAATTCATCCCAAAGGTGTTCTATCGGGTTGAGGTCAGGACTCTGTGCAGGCCAGTCAAGTTCATCCACACCAGACTCTGTCATCCATGTCTTTATGGACCTTGCTTTGTGCACTGGTGCACAGTCATGTTGGAAGAGGAAGGGGCCAGCTCCAAACTGTTCCCACAAAGTTGGGAGCATGGAATTGTCCAAAATGTCTTGGTATGCTGAAGCATTCAGAGTTCCTTTCACTGGAACTAAGGGGCCAAGCCCAGCTCCTGAAAAACAACCCCACACCATAATCCCCCCTCCACCAAACTTTACACTTGGCACAATGCAGTCAGACAAGTACCGTTCTCCTGGCAACCGCCAAACCCAGACCCGTCCATCAGATTGCCAGATGGAGAAGCGCGATTCGTCACTCCAGAGAACGCGTCTCCACTGCTCTAGAGTCCAGTGGCGGCGTGCTTTACACCACCGCATCCGACGCTTTGCATTGCACTTGGTGATGTATGGCTTGGATGCAGCTGCTCGACCATGGAAACCCATTCCATGAAGCTCTCTGCGCACTGTTCTTGAGCTAATCTGAAGGCCACATGAAGTTTGGAGGTCTGTAGTGATTGACTCTGCAGAAAGTTGGCGACCTCTTCGCACTATGCGCGTCAGCATCCGCTGACCCCGCTCCGTCAGTTTACGTGGCCTACCACTTCGTGGCTGAGTTGCTGTCGTTCCCAAACACTTCCATTTTCTTATAATACAGCTGACAGTTGACTGTGGAATATTTAGGAGCGAGGAAATTTCACGACTGGATTTGTTGCACAGGTGGCATCCTATCACAGTTCCACGCTGGAATTCACTGAGCTCCTGAGAGCGACCCATTCTTTCACAAATGTTTGTAAAAACAGTCTGCATGCCTAGGTGCTTGAATTTATACACCTGTGGCCATGGAAGTGATTGGAACACCTGATTCCGATAATTTGGATGGGTGAGCAAATACTTTTGGCAATATAGTGTAAATCTGGAAGAGTATATGTACACTCTGCTATTTGTTTGTGTGAAATCTAGAATAAAATGTTTTTTATACATTTTCAACCAATCATGTCTTTATTGTGTAACTACAAATTTTAAAACTGAGTCATTTGGACCTTTAGTGCCAAATTGCAAAGAAAACTTTTAAATACACAAATCACCATTTGAAATAACCATTGATTCTAAATGAGGAAAAACTCCCTGCACCACTACAGAGTTTACTAAATAAAGTTATTAGGTCTTACTAATCCTATATAAATACTGAAAAAAGCAAAAATGTGCACCAAATAAAAGCGTGGATCTCAGGAAGATAAGTGCTCCAACATCAAGACAGCAAAGCAACAGAAAACAGGGGGATCATGTATCTATAATTTATGCTAAAAACTTCACACTACATGGAAAACACATCAGAGACAGGCAGGCATCTATCTGCAAACGACATCCTAAGACACTTCCACTGCATCATTTCTGTCAAAGCTTCTGCAGAACATGAACCACTATAACTCAGACTGGAATCATTCTACAAGGTTCTTTATCAGAGAAGTACAACTCCAAGCAAAAAATAAGGTGTTCCATGCAAAGAGACCATCACATATTATTTATTGTATTGTTTTTCACAGCATTTTGAGAAAAGGACATTGCAATTTGCTTAAAAATTGTGACACACGTATTCAGCTTTCTGCGTCATATCTAATCAGACAATCTTTCTTATGAATTTCATATTAACTCCTCTCCGTAGCCTCTTAATATTAAAATGTATTTAATGAGGCTAATCTACAGATGTCTCCTCTGCTCTAATATGCTTGCTCATGCATTGCTGCCGAAGCTTTTCAATTCTCTGAATACGTTAGCATGTTAAACTGAGCGTCACAGTGCAATGCTCACTGCTCTGTTCGGTTCTTGGCAGTTCTCTGAGGAATGCCTTACTGCAGAGCACTCCTTTTTCATGAGGGCACTGTCTTTATCTTTTTACGTGAGGTGGGAGAACAGTTACGCCAAAGAATTACATCAATCGTTAAGTCTCATAAGCCTTTCTCAGGAGGAAGCCTTCTGTAATGAAGACCTTTTGTTAGGGTTACGTTGCTTGTAGATGTACAACTGATGCAAACGTTTTTCGACTCTGAGGATTAAGATGCTTTTCCGTGAAAGGAAAATCATCTTCCAGCAACAGAGGCAGTGTCGGACGCAATGAAACAATGATACTAGCCCAAAACTAGGAGGATGGTCCAGATAGAATAATTGGTATGAGAATTACAAAGCAGGTACACAAACACCGACAGATGGAGATGATCAAGGGACATCTGTTCCACAAGAGTTGGGTTTTGCTGGCAGTGATCAGACAGGCTTTAATAAAAGTGACAGTAGTTGACACCAGCGCTCCATCTGCATCCTGTTGTTCAGACATTAGGGCGTCCTGCGGAATAACTCAGTCACATTTTCACTCTAAACCGTTACGGCTCGGACATCTGCAGCCAGGCCAATGACATCCCTCACTGATGGAGAACTCCCCTATTGGAAGTCTTGGGAGTAACTGGAGGAACGAGAGGCCATCCGTGATTAACAGTTTAGCCGTTTTAGTGGAAACACAAAAGGAGCCTTAAAGAAACAAAAACAGAGCTGCCTTAGCACCCTTGCCTTGTTGGCAGACCCACAGGAATGGTAAAAGACTCCATCTGTCTCTCTGTTACGGCTTTACTTGTATGGCAGTGAATATCCTTTAAGTGTCCTTTCTTTTATTTTAATGACATTTAACTGTTTAATGACATATGTTTAATATTTGATACATATGGTTTTTCTGAAATGTTTTGCATCTCAAACCTTTTAGCAAAACATTTAAGGGCAATCAATCACATATACCTGGTAACAGCAGGCAGAAGACCACACAACAATAATTTTGTCTTAATAAAGTATGAATAATCAAAGATTATTTCTGCTTTTTTCAAATTTTGATAAAAGGCAAAACAAAGAAATCAAACAAAAAAAAGTTATTTTTGTTTTGGATCAGGCTCTAAACAAAGGTAAACAAAGGAAACAACAATTGAACACAGCAAAAGACATGCAAAATTACACCAAGTACTATTTATTCTTTAGTTAATTTGACCTTATTCATTGTCTGTGAGTTAATGATGTACTTTTCCAATCTGTACCAGTCTTCTTCTGAATCTATTAATTTTCTTTACCGTTTATTTCCAACAGGAAGGCTGGAGCCTATCCTATTACGCAATTGGAAAGAGGCGGGATACACGTGATGGAATGTCTGCCCGTCCATCAACGGGCCACATAGAGACACACAATTACAAACAAGCAGACACTCTGACGTTCCCTCTTCAGGGCAATTTGGAGTGTCCAATAAACCTAGTTTGATATGACACTAAAGTTCAGCTAACTTGTAAATACCCTTAATTTCCGAACGATTGAGCGCACCTAAATATAAGCTGCAAACACTAACTGTATGAAGAAGGTACTGGTAACATACACTAACCGGCTATGTAATGTAAATGAATTAGCCGCATCATTATTTAAACCACGGTGCACAAAGCATGTGAAAAAAGTAGTGTCTTATTGAGCAGAAATT